GTATAATATTAAATACTATTAATGTCGATGAATCGTTTTAATAAACTATCAAATAATAACTAATTTGATTTAATCCTACATAACTGCCGCCGTTGCGCTAGTATGATATAAAAGAGTACAGAATCGAAACCACGCACACGCCACTTATTCGCTGTTTTACGTAAAGTTTTACACGTTTGGAACTTTACTGTTTGTACGTACTCTTTCTCATTTGCTGGCAGTCTGGCGTACTATCAACACTATCATTACGCCCTACGGGATAATAGATTCGTACGAGCTACTCTTTGTGTTAATGGGGTTATTGTAACTGAACCAACTCGATCAAGTACTATTACTTCCGTTCATTTATCAAGAATTTAATTGTTAATGATTATGAGGTTGCGTGGCTCTACATTCATTGCATTTACGATGACGTATTTTAGGAGAAAAGGAAAGAAGAAAAAACTTTCAGAAGATCTCGAGAGATCTAAGAATATATATATAAAATATGATAGAAGGTAGTATGCACGATTTGAGGTATAAATGTATATAGAATGTTATATCATACACGAGAAATGTATATAATAACAAGAGTATGAAACAAGACTTCTACTTGAACTAGAGATGTTAACCTTCCATCGTTCTCATCCATTTAAGAGATAAAGAGACTAGATGTTCGAAATACATGTGAATACGTCTTCAAGACGAAGGTATTTGTATGTAGGAATATTAGCCTCACAGTTTTTATGAAATTCTTGCAGGTGCGGAGATCTCTGATTTTCTATTTCGATGGTTCTCGTAAAATTTTATTGTCCGCAGCATCGAGTTCTATCTGAATATCTACATAGCTGTTACACATTTCAATCGTACGTACATCTCACAATTCTTTTGAAATATCCACTATCAGAGTCATAATACTTTATGTAACAAAGATTGAAACTTGTAAAAATACATTGAAAGAATTATCGGGTATTTCTTTTTTGTATCATATTAATATATATCAATGCAACGATTTGAAGTATATATAAAAATTTGATCCGTAAAAAAAGTCTAAATAAACACAAAGATAGTAAGAATTTATATAATATATCTTATATTATTTTGTTTCTTAAATTTTTTAGTTATGACATATTTTCTCAATTATCTGATATTTACGTTCCGTACCTGTTTATTAATTTTCTGCCATTTGCCTCTTCTAATCTTGTCCTTATACTAATTGTACCACATTTCCACTAAAAATTTGCAATCTTTTTCAGCTACACAAAAACTGGCACTCTTCGCGCTTATCAATTCTCTTGGGTTATAGTCTCTACTTGCTACCGCATTATCTTTTATTCGTTTTGGTCATTTATCGTCCTATCGCTCATCTCATTCTTTGTAATACAATGCTTTTTTTAAAGATAGAATCTCGAGAAGGGTTTTAAAAACATTGCTAGTTATTAATTAATGTACACGTGTAAATGAATGAATCCTTTCTACTATTTCTAAAGAATGTACTCTTCTTATTTTGGAAAATCCCATAAAGCATTTCCCTGATTAAATATATCTTCTTAAATCTTATTTTGCAACATTTTGATATAAACTACACTGAAAGAAAAGATTGGCTGCTGCAGCAAATTAGATGGTAAAATATGGTATAGTATTTTTAATTGGTTGCAACAGCCAATTTTTGGATGCTGCAATTGTTGATTGTGTTAGCCTATTCGTAATATCAGTATAGGATTTCGATTGGCTAACACAACCAAAAATTGGTTGCTACAGCCAATTAAAAATACTATGTCATATTTAACCATCTAGTTTGTTGCAGCAACCAATCTTCTCTTTCTTCAGTGTATATATATAGTGCAATTGTATAATACAATTCTTAACTGGAATTCTCAAAAGTCATTATTGAGTTCTCCAGAAAGGAATGTAAGTTTTTTAGATAGACACAATTATTTAATTTTATAAAATATATAAATATTATATAATTATTTAATTTCATTTTACTTATAATACTTGTTTTACTTTTTTTACAATGATTGATCGATATCCGGCGATTTATTCGACGTTTTGATGGTAATTTGTTGATGAAGATGATCTCCTTTCCGTTTTAGTTGAAAATCATATTTTATTTGTATATTAAATTTGCATATAATTTCGATATCCGAAAGTGATGCCGTGTAAGAATCTTGATGGTAATGGACCGTGTTTTGACACGATATCATGCACATCTCTGGAGATGCAAAACCGAAACATCGGAAAACATCAACATCTTAGATATCAGAAAGGTTCCAATATAACGCGACATATATCTCTGCGTAGTTCGAGTCTTATCGGGAAAATGCGGCAAAGATGATTTGTAGTTATGGGTATGGCTATACATAACTTACAATATTCAGATAAAAATGACATTACTCGATCTATTCTTTCTATTTCTATATTATATATGTATATTATACATATATATTGTATATATATATATATATACCTATACAACGATTCTATATAAAAACGATGATACAGTGGCGTGCAAAAGTTTCCGGTCAGTGACATCTTGTACTTTAATTTATTTTAAAAAAACCTAATAAAATTTTAATTATTTTCAGGTGTTAGTACAAGATTTCCTTATCCACATCTTGTACTAATACCCGATAATGATTAAAATTTTGTCAGATTTTTTTTTAATAAATTAAAGTACAAAATGTCACTAGCCGGAAACTTTTGCACGCCACTATATATGTTAATGTCTTGGCCAATACATCACAAATTTATTATTTTTCTATTGTTTATATTATCGACAGAAATAATCAAATAAAGAAACAAACTAATAAAAGTTTGTTTGTGATTAAACACAAATATCAATTAACATCCAGCATTTGGTTTCGAAAAGAAATTGATATGAACAAAACTATAACAGAATAGATTACATTTTTTTACTTAACAAGGAAATCCCCTTCTTCTTTTTCTGTGGTTTCCTTGTTAAATTTTTATTAAATTTTATTATTTGAAGTTACTAAAATTAATTGTCTCTCAATATTTTTTATTACCGTACCAAATCCGAACCAAAAAACGAAACGTCTTCATTTATTAAATAAAACGTAATTGCAACAACATCCAGCATCGGCTCTGAAAGACTTTTTATTTCTTATTGATTTAATTCATTAGAGCCTGTAGAATTTTTATAGTTTATATTATATAAGTTAATTAACCGTGTCGTTACATTAAATAATCAGAAATCAGAGCGGTACAGGTATACTACACAACATGCTGCACTTTATTTATTATTAAAAAAAATAAATTTTTTAACAAACATTAAATTATGCTACGCGACAAGTACTTGTTATAAATTAAAATAAAGTTGGTAATAAAGCGAGTAAAGTTGTATTTAATATATATTTAATATATATGTATAACTTATGTTTACTAATTTCACGTAAGGTATTACGGTAATTTCCCGTTACGCTAGATAAGCAAATACCCATGAAATTCGAGATCTGCCAACGAAACGGTACATTCCGGAGTTTAGCACGTGCGAAATGAAGAAATATACGGTCACAAATCAGACCGTTACCTCAGAAGATGGCGTAGAGAACGAGGAAGGGATCGGAGGGAAAGGAGCAATGCGTAAAGATTATCGCCAGGAACTCCGATAACGTCGTAGTCGCCGACTGGTAGAGGAAATGGCGGAAGAAGTACCGGCTGCCGGAAGCGCAGCCACGAGTTTCAAACGATAATAATTTCCTGCCAAGCATCGCGAATACCATTTCGAGATTTCCTATAAATTCCTCGATTTCTGGCAAAGAAATGCTGTCGAGGTTTGAGGTTATTGAACGGCTCTTTAACACTCAACGTTATAAGTTATGTCATAATCTCCAACGTTTATATTCAAGTTAACATTTATTATGGCACAATAAAAAAAAACCACTATCAATATAAAATATATTATCAAGTTATTAATTAAATATTAAGAAGGGCTACAAACCAAGAAAACACAAAAATTGCTGTACATATATCGACACACTGTTTGTATCTCGAGTTTTAAACCTTTTGTTCTACCAATATTTTTATATTCTGACTAATATCATTTTATTTAACATTGGAACTAATTTTAAGGTATTTATCTTAAGAGTTTTTCTTTTTTTATATGAGCTCTTTATCAACGAATATTTTTTCAAACTTTATATTATTTTAACAGACTGCTTGCTTTTTGAATCTCAAATTTTTATACAATTGATATTATATTTTTTCACATTCTGACTGATGTTAAAAGCGATGTTTATCACATTCTGACTGATGTTACTTAGCATTGAAAATATTTTGAAGCCATTTATACTAACGTTTTTCTTATGAGTCTTTTATTAACGAACGTTCCTTATTTTATATTTTATATTGTTATTTTGACAGACTTTTATTAGCTATTTTTCATCAACATGAACTTAATATATTACTGACGTATTGCGACATGTCTATAGCGAGTTTTCTCTGTACCATCTTGCGCAAAATTACAAAGATGATCTCTATTGGATACAACAGCAATATTTTTAATACCGTTGCGATAACCATAGTATATTATTTTACTATATCTTTTTGTACATTCAGCTGAAGTCAGTACAATTACAAAAGTTTTTATTTTCGTAGCTTGTAATTTTTAGTTATAGGCCGTTGATATTTCAAATATATTTAAACTATTAATTTATTGAAAGTTTTTACACGTCTAACATTGATAATGGTCCGATCGGAATCGAAACGCCGTTTGTTTTATATTTATTTATATTTATTTTTGTTTTAATTTGTTTTAGCGCTTACTAATTATATTTCCATCGCACTTACATTTTTATGTTTTCACTTGGTTTGTAGCCCTTCTTAATATATATTTAATTAATTTATTATCTGAATCATTCACATCATGCATTTTATAAAGTTATATATATGTATCAATTTTATATTTATGTAGCATTAATTATAATAGGATAACAAACCTATGTGTTCAAAGATAAATATAAAACTATTTAAAAAATAGTTAATATTGTAAAAGTTACCTGAATTTGACAGACCACTTCACCGTACGGCCAACATCCGTAAACAGCTGGTAAGAAACCGAAAGGCGTCACTAAAAGACCAATCGCTAGATCGTTACTTGCTAAGCTCGTCAGCAAATATCTGGGCTGGAAGAAAATTGAAGAGAACCTGTTGATCGTCTTGGTCAGTGTCAATGGACGTCATTACCGAATGGTTGAATTGTTGTGTAACGTGTGCGATATTAGCTCCGTCGTGAGACGTGTAACGAGAGAAAATATCGATTGACTTAAAGGAAACTTTTTTTCGCTAATTGTGGTTCATTTCTATATGAGAATCAGTTTAAATTGATTTAGATTAATTGATTCAACTGACTGTTTAGACTAACTTTGAATTAAATTTATTTACTAAATTAAAATGTTTATAGAAACCTACATATACAACACTAAAAAAGAGTTTAATTTTCTAGACGAAGTAAAAAATATAATGTGTTTTCAATTATTGAAGTTTTAATGTAGTTTTATCCTTCAATTTTACATTATTACTTTCTACTTTCGCTAATAATTGCATGGAAAATTGAAGTTACTTTCATATACATATTTAGTAGGCTACGTAACTTTTACATATACATAAATTAGATCTGAAAGTGTGAAGTCACTAGGTAGAAAAAGAAAAACTGAGAAGGAGTTAGAAAGAGCAGTACAGAAAAGTTAAATTTCATTAGTGATAATATCTACAGCGTAGGAGATTGTATAAATCCCGATAACAGATAAACGATTGTTAGAATAACGGTTTCTCGAAAAGGATTTAAACTAATGTAGGTTTTACAGCATCGAAATAAGGATATATTTTACGTACCCACTACAGTTATAGAAGTTATCTAATCTATATACGTATCTTTTCTCCAGAAAAATTTACATATTTATGCAATAAAAATCGATTAATATTAAGGAATGCTTTATTGCATGTACGTCTATTGCGTTTTAGTAAAGATATTCTCAGTATATTACGAACGCGTATAATAACAGAAAAATTTAATTAATAAAAAAATAAGAAATGAAATATTTGTAAATGTACAATTTTTTGCGGGCATCATCAGTCTCTATGAAACTCGACGGTACTCATTTAGAACCCAGAAACATGACTGTCCTGTATTTCGAGCAGCTAACCACTTCAGACTGATTTACATAGGAAGAAGAGAGAAATGGAGAAAATACCGCGAACCCTTCCATCACGGACTGTGAGTTATGGCACCGACTGAAACCTTCGTACATTCACGTAACTAATATTTTACCGTAATCCTTTTATAAGATAAAAAACAAATACATAATATTAATTTCATTACATCGTATAAATATTTTAACTTTTTTTTGTGAGCTAATGTATTTAGATATTTATATATAAAGAATGTTTTTCATTGAGATTATTTTAATCCTATTTCCATCCTTCAAATAACAAGCGAAATTTTCAGGAAAATCTGTATTGTTCTTTTCAACATTCTAAAAGTTTGAGATTTTTACAGATTTCGTAATTACTATTATTTTACAATAAAAATAAAAGGATTTACTTTTAAAATTTATATTTAACAAGTTAGAAATTTTGTCAATAGAGCAACGAACTTTAGTTTGTTTTTAAAAAGTTGCGTAAATCAAATTACATATCTTAAATGTACCAACTTACCTGAGCATGTATATATTTGCTGTACTGTCTGCTATTGATAACACATATCACCAGTAGATTGGCGCATAGGATACCAAGACTGAGTAGCAATATCAGAGCAGCTCGTATCAGCTCTCCAGGACCTGGACCTGTCCAAGCGGCATCGGATGTGCCGCTTCGCCAACAACTGCTGTTGCTGAGTGAGGGTGCCAGCAGTATCGTTTGTTTGTGTTCCATCATCATCGTTTGGTCGTTTATTTCCCCACGCGATTACGGTGTCGAATCCCCAGACGAGACACCCGTGTCCCGCTCGAGGCACACGTATTTCGTACGTTTCTGAAAATAATCTTTTTTTAAATGAAATCTTATTATACTCTGTCTGTATCATATAATTTATGTGCAATAAATTTCGAAAGGAGTCTTACATAATAATGAATCTTATAATCTTGTTTAATATTATAGATATAAAATCTTTAATACAATTCCAGTACAGATATATTAAATAACTTCTGAAGATTAAATTATTCTTCACGTATTTTGTACACTTAAAAATAATTTTTTTAATATAAAATTCGATTATATTTTGACATATTTACAGTATAGTAAATTTTGAAAGAAATTTTATAATTGTTTAATTATGCAAATATTTAATTATGAATCTTAATGTAATTTTGTTATATATTAATTTGATTTTATTATTTTATAATCAAATTAATGTAGCAAAAATTCTATTAAAAACTAAATTGTCAATTACAAAATACGATACTATTCAATATATAGTCATAAAATACGTCATAATAAGATTCTAGATTAATAATGTTTATATTTAATAATGTTTCTTAAAAATACTGTATATTCTTTTAGTATAATAAAAAGAAATTATGTAAGTTGTTATTTTAAATCCGACTATTTTTTCTGTCAATAAAATTGAACAAGATAAGCCTTAAAAAGAGGAAATAAAGGCAAAGTAATGTTGATAATTAAATATCTTAACGTACTTTTCATCCCTGTCGGTCGCGAATTTTCGAGAGTCCGCCTTGATGATGGCCGACCAGCTTTTTTAAGCACTGCTTCTTCATCATCGAGGTCGTTGAGAATGTGCACAGTTGCGAACGTTTGAGCGCGTCTAATGACGCACTCGAAAGTCCGCTCACGACTCACGAGTCGTCTGTGTGCATTTGCAAAATGATGTGTAACTTCGACGTGTAATAGATTCTTGATACGCAGTGCATCTCAGCTTGGATCCACAGCATCTACGAGCATGCGAATGAGAAGACAAGCTCTGCAAGAAAAGAAAATAAAGCGGATAAAAATAACACATAAAATCTGTTTTCTGTTCAACGAATTTTTCATTCATTTGCACATGCAAATTACGAAGTGTTTGTCTTACTGCCTGTCTACCGAGTAACATTTGTGACAAGAAAAGGAAAAACTTGATAATTACTTTATGTATATAATTATAAAATATACATATATTAAATATTATATAACTATACATAAACTATACATAACTATATAGAATATTCTTTGGAGATAAATCCTCAGAATATGAAAGAAATTTGAGAATGTCACATCTTACAAATAAATAGAAATTATAAAATTTGTTATTGTACTTTTTCTAATATAAAGGTATATATTTTTCAAATTTAAGATAAAAGTACTATAATTCTTGTAAAAACATACAATTTTATATATTTTTGCTATAAACTATGTAATTTTTACACACATTGTTTATATAATTTTAGAAGAAAGTCGCCGATACCGACACATCACTTTGTTTTTAGACAATATTTCTTAAACAAAAGGTAAAAATACAACTTCAAAAACATAAATACAAAATAAAAAGTGTCTTCTATCAGATAGTATAAGCAATTTTTATAATACTGTTAGCAATTTTGCAATAATTAAGTTTTTCATAAGTTATGCAAAAATGAGCGTCTGACAAAATGGGCTTCAAAACTGACACAGTAGGCAGTAATGCTACGTATTCCTATTCTTTTTCTTTTACAGGAATTAACTGTATAAAGTCCTATAAATGAATGTATATATGATTTTTCAGAATCATTTTACTTCGTTATAAAACATTTTTATTGAATTATATGCATATTTACTTTATGCTGTTCTGCAAGATGCAAATATGTAACGCGATAGTTTTTCTAGAGTTGTTCCATATATGCACGATTGCCTTTAGCTCCAATAGACTTATTTGACACTATAAAGCAACATTATAAAGATTAAGTTAAGTCATGGTCTATTCTACGGACAGATGTGGCGGTTTACGCTGCACCCCAATTTTAAATTAAAAATCGTATTATGAAAAGACTAAGAGAAAAAATAATATAAATAAAACTTATTTCGGAAATTACAAGTATTTAAAATGAAGTAATATTATCAATAATATAGTGACTATTATTTAAACCTCACAATTTGCAAAAGAAAATCGTAAGAATTTTATTTTTGCATTTGTAGAATTCGTTTTAAGCTGATTTGATATAGAAACAAGCCACGAATCTACGAATTATGAGTTTGTACTTCTTTAATTAGCTAAACAGATCATGATTTTACTAGTATTAATAAAGTGCAATAGTTAGTTTCCGAAAAATAAGGGGGTGTCACTTTAGGAGACCTATGTCAGTATCGGCGACTTTCCTCTACTTAAAAAATGCATACTAAATGCTAAGACATCGTGTAAAGATACAGAAGTAGACTGTAAATTCCTTGTTATTCCACACTTATATACGTTAAACTATACCTATAATTAATCTTGAAATTCGACTATGACTTTCTCTTCGAATACTTATCGACATTCCCATTTTACACCGTTATGTGAGAGCTTTCTACGGAATCAGAGACTGCGTTTGAAACTCGTACGTTTCGAGTTTGCGACGTTTTATTTGCTCTTGCCCGCAATATTTCCAACAATCAAGCGTACGGGCACATCCCGCTTCGTTTCCGAGAATTTTATTTGTACCACGTAAACGAACGAAGCCGTTGGTCCGCGAATTCGACGTTGATCGATCGCGCGCGTCAATTCCGTTCGCATTGACGGTGAATCGTTGATGCGTTACACTATGTCGGTGCCGAATAGATCTTCCGTGAATTCATACGGATCATGCTCTTCCGCAATAAGTTCAGTCCTGCTCGATCCTTTGTACTGTGAATAATTAATTGTAAATCTCTTACATGCTAGATGAAGGAAGGCTGTTTTGGATATACACTGACTTGCGTCAATCGTAATTAAAATTTGAAAGAATCTGTTTGTTCATCGAAATGCCAGAAATGGAAAAATTAATTGGATATTTGTGCAGATATCGGACGTTTCCTTTCACCGCAAATTTCATTTAGAATCAAAGCCAGTACCAGTTAACATCAGCCGTCTGATTTTCAGGTGATAATTAATGTATTGATTCCACGCGTGAATGCGCGAGCAAATATTGAAAATTAATGCGCTATTAATCCGCTTACTAATTGTAAGATAAGCTAAAAGCTTAGACAGACATTATTCTAATAGATGTGACTGAATAAATTAAAATTATTTGCTTGTTATTCATTCGCTTGTTATTACGTTAATTATATAGAAGTTTTGTCATAACATTTCACTCGGAGATTTAAGTAAACATATTTGTTAATTACACACTTGTTTATACAATATTGTATTGTATTAGAAATGTTTATCGCTATTCAATAATATTGAATATTCAATATATTTGCATTTTGATATAAAAATATTGAATAAAAAATTATGAATTAGGTATTGACTAGATTTTTAACCATTCATTTTCTATTTTCATAAATATTTTTGATTTTCAAAATTTTCTTCTTTAAAGTCCTAATCTAGTAAAAACATAGTTGTACAGATAAAAAAATTGACCAATCAAACATCTCAGATAAAAGTCACCATATTGTTAAGATTGCATAATATTTGATTAATAACTAGAACGATAAAAGTAAATACTTATTCTGATTGATATAATTTTAGGAATTTCAATCTTTAAATTCCATTTTTTTGAATGGACAAATTATATAATCAAACCTTTTTAAGGATTAGTCATGATTGACGAATCGTTTTGTATGTAATCGGAACTGTAAACAAACTGTACCTATTCTACATAAAACGTTAAAGATAGTTTTTTATTTGTAAGCTTTATTATTTAAAAAATTGGGATTGTATTATAATTTTATTTAATTTTTCTAAAACCTGTTTATTATTTGATATATTTGATATAATGTCTATTTATTCAGGGTGAATATAAACAGTTTTTAAATATTTAAGTATATTCATAGTCGACATTTTTGCTCGAAAGTCTGTACTGTATTATTAACATATAGTCAGTGGCAAATAATTTTTGTGGAAGTATAAAGAGCAATATATTTTATGTTACATTTTATCAAAATACTAAAAAAAGGATTTTAAAATTACGGAATTTTGTAGTTTTAATTAGTTTCTCGCTATATTACTTTTGCTAATTTCAAAGCGCATATTTTTTTAATTTATGAGAAATTATAATTACGTAATTTATTCATAAAATGGCTTCTCTTTGCAACATAACCTACAATTACATAAAACTGGTATTTGTATACTTTGGGTGCAGATACGTATAATATATATCTTTTAATAAACCAATTCAATGAAATAAAAAATACGAATTTGAATGAACTGGCATAAGAAACTAATTTGTAAAAATAGTACCAACAATTCTTTTAGAATAACATTTATTTTTAAAAATAATGTAATAAATGTGATTACTATTTAGAAATATTTTTTTTGAAGCTAAGTTATATAACTACAATTCATAATTTATTATATTTTAACACCCGGTAAAAAATTTGTTATGCATGAATATGTATAAATATGTAGAAACATACATAAACATTCATAAATATTCATAACATGTATAATTATATATGAAGTCCATACATGTTCATATATCCTTCTTTCTTTCGTAAAATTACTTTTTAGTGTATTAGAAATAATAATAGTAACACGTGAAAACATAAAAAATAATGAAAAGGATAATTTCCCCATTGTTTGTTTTAGAAAAAAACAAGTTTGGAAAAATATAAAAAAAATTGCTCATACATAATTTTATATATAATTATACATAAATAATTTTTTTACATTTCTTCAAACTTGATTTTTTTCTAAAACAAATAGTGCGAAAATTATCTTTATAATTATTTTTAATGTTTTCATATTACTATTATTATTTCTAATATTCTTGAGACTTCCACGGGTGCTTTCTATATAAAGGTTATTACTTTTTAGTGTAATAGAAATAATAATATAAAGGTTATGCGTTTCGCGGGTTTCTCCTCTATGTCCAGATCCATACTTGAAATGCCAGAATGGATCTGGATACGGAGGAAACCCGCGAAACGCATATTATCTTTATATTATTATTTTTATTATACTAAAAAGTAATTTTATGAAAGAAAAAAGGATGTATGAACATATACGGACATATTTTATATATAATTATACATGTTTATGAATATTTATGCGTGTTTATGTATGTTTATACATATTTATATATATTCATGCAAAAAAAATTTTTTACCGGGCAATTATGTACCAGATACCTATATAGTACCTCAGTAACACTTGTTGGTTTTATATACGTTTCTTAAACGTTTATAGAACATTAGATACGTTTAGAAAACGTATATAAAATGTATATGAACTAATAGGTGCTACCTGGATAGCAACATTAAACCATACATAATTAATGTAAACCATACATAATGTGAGACTTGTGATAAAAAAATAATGTAGGAATTATAGTAACATATTATAACACATTTATTTTCTAAGTGGGAGATATATGTGCTGAAAAAGACGCTTTTCAAAACAAAAAATTCGAAAGGTATAGTTGAATTTACGAACATACATAGTTCGAGCATCGTATTGTTTACCATATCCTGAATTGGACACGATCGATGCATTTTGGCATTCATTATCTGGTTACAAGCTTAATTATAAATCAAACCGACAATTAACGGCGTATTGATTATCGAAGAATTGGATAACCCGTTTAATTGTAAGATCAAATCGCCCCTTAATACTGCAAATCGTGCACAATCACGGGTGAGGAATTGAAAAACAAGAAGGTAGCTAACGAGCGCCAGAATACCTTCGGCGATATTAGATTTTGGTAGGGTAACATCGGTATAAGCTCTGCACCTAACAAAAACTTAATTTATTAAGGCCCAGTTCCATCACTCACGGTTAACTCTTAACCGAAGTTCAATGTACTTCTCATCTCTTTCCGATTCTAG